CCACCCAAGACAAGATTTCTACGGACAATGTCAATGACTTCTTCGCGGACGTCTGTATCCTCAAAGCTGTTTGAGAAGCTAAAATGCACTACTTTGTTTTTAAGCGCTTGCTATATTTTGTTACCCATTATGACGAATAAATAGCCTATATATCCGGTTTCAATATGTGGAAAAGTAAGGCGATCTAATATTATAGAAATGAAAAGCATCCTAACGAAAACAACAGTAAATAATATTTGTTTTCATGGTCTCTTTGAAAAAAAAGAGCGTGAAAGAAACAGACACTTGTAACATTACACGAATAATATGCTTTGCGTCTTGATTTGTAGCCTCTCAATTTCGTTCTTTCCATCCTGCTGTCGAGTGACAAAAGACTAAAAGAAGTAAAATAATAATAGACCAATTCAAATTCAAGCTATTAGCCTATAAAGCAGAGATCGATGGGGCGTGACGCACGTCTTGGTCTTCATTTCGCCATTTAAGCTTAGTCAGGAACAAAGAGGAAACCGAACTCGCACGATTAAACAACACGTAGAACGAATTCCAAGGCCAAAGCAGACCAAGCGCCGTTGTTTTTAAATAAACATTTCTTCAAAAAAGCTAGAAAGCCACCTCGACCTCTATATTCTTCAAACAAGGCGACAACAAAATAAAAATATAAAAGCATTATACGTCCGATTTATTCTCACAAAGAAGCCTTTTAAAACACTACCCAAGGTGGAAGTAGAATCACACGCAACAATTTTTTAAAAGATCGTTCATAAAGTATTTTTTGTTGTTGTTGTCAGATTTGGTTGATAAGGTAAGGGTTGGGGTTGGGGCAGGGGGAGGGTTACGGTTAAGGTTAGGGTTATGGTTAGTGTTAGTGCTGGGGTAAGGGTGTGTATTAGGATTAGAATTAGGGTTAGGGTTAGAGTCAGGGTTAGGGTTAGGGTTAAGGTTTTAGGCTCAGAATTCGGATTAGGATTAGGTTTAGGATTACACACACACACACATACACACACACACACACACACACACACACACACACACACACACACACACACACTCAAGCAGACACATGGGCACCTCAGCTTTTATGTGAACAACAATCTCTTAACAACATTCCCCCCATTAGATAGAACAACGCAGGTGCTTTCAACAGAGTCATCGGGGTACTCACAAACACAATATCGCTGTCCTTCTCTGGTCATTAGACGCCCACGGTGAGATGTGACACTGAAGGCTGGGGTTCTTTTCGAGTCGAGTTCATTCTTTTCTTGTTCTACCTGGGATTATAGAGGCATAAAGATTACCTGCATTAACCCTTTTAGTGCCGAGGCCTTTCCATCTAAGTTTATGGCGTCGGTGGCCTAGTGGTAATTAAAGGCTCTCGGACTTGCAACTAAAAGTCGTGGGGTTCGAATCCTGTCAAGGGTCGACTTTATGTCCCTGAGAAAGGTAATTATCACTAATTTCCCCTCATTTCACCCAAGTGTTAATTGGTATCCGGCAATAGACAGCGAAATATCTTATTAGTTTGTTAATGTTTTAGCACATGTGATCAACGGCTAGCTTTTATCATCATCATCAATGCCTTTCACCCCTGGCAGGGTATAGGCCATATGCAAGCTCTTCCATTTATCTCTGTCCTGGGCCATCCTTCCAAACTCGTTCCAAGTGAGCTTCATTTCTCTCATGTCCCTTTCCACGCATCTCCCCTATGTTTCCCGTGGCCTACCCCTGCCTCGTGCTCCTTGTGGGTTCCACTGCAGTGACTGTCTTGTGATGTTTCTGCTGGGCTTTCTTAAGGTGTGTCCCACCCATCGCCACGTTCTTAGTCCTATTTCTACTTCTATATCCTTTTGTCCTGTCCTGTCCTTTCCCATAGCTCTTCATTTCTTATCCTATCCTGCCACTTAATTCTTAGAATACTCATCATACATCTGTTGATGAAAGTCTGGACTTTATTCAGTCTAGCTTGCATGCTTCCCAAGAATGTTTCTGGGTGTTTTGGGTCTGCTGGGGTGATATTAGTTGTAAAACGCACAGAGCATGCTGCAGAGCGTGGATAAGCGCAATTTCAATGCAATTGTGATGATGATGATGATGATGATGATGATGATGATGATGATGATGATGATGATGATGATGATGATGATGATGATGATGATGATTATTATTATTGATGATGTTGTTGTTGTTAGTACGTTTGTACAGATTAGATAATATGTTCACTCGAGAGAGATTTAAACAAAGCCTCATTTAATAAATTAATAACTATACCCTTAGTAAGAATGTGCAACTGAACAAATTACAGTTATATCTGCGAAAATGTTCTTTGTACACGAGTAGAAAAATGACTATGAACTAGTTTGGAAGACCACATACATCTGCATTGCAGTGAAGTGGTTAATTGTAGAAGGAATAACATCGAACTTTATCGTTATAAGTAGATACAGGGCGGGTTTCATTAAAAAGGATAAAATCTGGTATTTTCGTATTCATCGCTGATTCTTCCAAAACGTGTTTACTTTCAAAGGTTCTACTCATTATAAAAACTTTCTATTTTTGAACCCATTAAGAGCTAGACTGGTAAACATCATGGGTTTGTTGTTCTAGTTGTTTTGCGACGGACGCCATGTACCTGACATTGTTTTTAAAATCCAGTAAAGTAAAATGCTGGGGGGGTTTTCTTTTAGGGGGGGGGGGATAGATTCTCTATTTGTGTGTGCTTTCAGAGAATGTTTTCTTATTCTGCATGGTTGTATTCTTTTTTAAAATTATATTCATTCAAAATAAGGGAGCCCTTTATGCTTCACCATGTGGTTCCTCTCAGAGCACAGAGAAGTAACCTTGTTGGGAGTACGTGTCTTTTGATACGATCTGTTCTGTTTTTAAAAGGGCACGAAATTTTAACTGAGAGAGAGAGAGAGAGAGAGAGAGAGAGAGAGAGAGAGAGAGAGAGAGAGATGTTTGCTTCATTACCTGGTTGGTTGTTTTTTTTTAGAAGTACACGTATATTACCAACAACTCGCTTGTGAATAGCATCAGGGACATTATGTTTTGACTCTTCGCCCGGATTGGAAAAGATGTGAGTTCGATTGATTTCCTTTTGGAGAAAACACTTCATCAATTATCCGGAACATTAGAAAAAAAGTTGAATCCATAAGCGTTGATGGCAAGCTGTTCGAAAGTGTTGACCCGGATTATACAAACCATCAAATGTCACACGTGCAGCTTAAATAAATAACAGAAAAGCCATGGTTACGCAAAGAATGGTCCAACCAATTAAAAGAAAATCCCTAAAATATAAGAAACATAGATTGCACAATACATGGTCAGTCTTTCTGCATGGGAGTGTGGAAGCTGAGAAAAACAGAAGAGAAAAAGACCCAAAGAGCTGAAATGTAATGTTCAAGAAGGCTCTTGAGAACCACTTGGTATAAAAAAAAGAATAAATACCAGCACACCCACAGAGCCCAGAGAGACTAAAAGTCTTGGGTATAGTTAGAAAAAGAAAATGAGAATTTCTGGACTTGTCATTAGACATGGTTGTCGTAATATCATGACGACCCCCGCACCAGCTAAAATTACAAAGATAAAAAGGAGAGGCAAACTGGCAAAGTCATACGTCAACAACATCTCTGCCTGGACGCCTATAATAACCATGGACAAATCAAGAGATATTCTGTAATATCCAGGGTGCACTGCCAATTGGGTGCAATAGAAATGAATGGGGATCAGCGACATTTTCCTCAGTGGAGGGGCCAGAGCTACTATTTTGGAACAGTACGACCTATTCGACTCCCGACCTTGAAAAATAAACGCATTTCATTTTGAAGGTCACAGTCGATTCCAATCGAAATCAGTAGGATTGTGTCAAAATAGTTTGTCTTTGCTCCTCCATGAAAGAAAAATCTGGCTGGTCTCATCTGAATCAAATGAATCAAATTGGTACTGGGTATAAAGCCGAAGTGAGAAACCTTGCGAAGGGCAAACAATTGAGAGGAGTGAAGGTAAATGGCGAGGTACGCAGCGGCAGCAACCATTAATCATGGATGATGGTGCCAGCACTAACAGGTATCTTTACTTCTTTTCATGAACATACATGTAACTAGTCTCCCACCAGCCCTGGTTGGCCGAACAGCCAGGATCGATCCTAACTGCTCACCTTTTAAAATACCAGTATGATATAGATCTGGTCACTATGGCGACACTATGGCGACACAAAACAATAATAAGTACAATGAACACATGCTACTACTACTACTACTACTACTACTACTACTACTACTACTACTACTACTACTAAGCTTATTGTTGATGACACGGCTGCTGTGGCCTCCGAAATTTGTAATGAATTAACCAGTCATCGATGTCTTTGTGTTTATGATAATTGTCGTTGTGTTCTGACAAACACACATAGGCCCTAGTTGACACAGGCACTCACGGGGTGTACGCACGTGCAAACACAAAACTCACTCGAGCACAAAACTTAGTTTTGCACGTTATCTGGTACACTTTCGAGCGGGCTCAAGAACACATTCATATGCGAATGGGCGTTCATAATAATAATAATAATAATAATAATAATAATAATAATAATAATAATAATAATAATAGTAATAATAATAATAATAATAATAATAACAATAATAATAATAATAATAATAATAATAATAATAATAATAATAATAATAGTAATAATAATAATAATAATAATAACAATAACAATAATATTAATGATAATAATAATAATAATAATAATAATAATAATAATAATAATAATAATAATAATAATAATAATAATAATTAGCATTTGTATAGCGCATATCCCCACCCGAAAGCAAGCTGTATGCGATTTACACTATATTAATACCCCAGCAGACCATAGAACACTCAGAAACATTCTAAGCTTCCCGGGAAGCATACAGTGCAAGCAGCTAGTTAAGCGTTCAAACACTATCAAACTGACAAGGTCTTTCGCTGTCTATAGTTGGGTACCCATTCCCACCTGGGTGAAGTGGGGGAAAATTCGTGTAAAGTGCCTTTCCCAAGGACACAACGTCGGGCCCGCTGCTCGAACCCCCGAACCCGCAACCTCACGATTACGAGTAAGGCAGCCTAACCACTAGGCCACCGACGCCATCTTGTGCTCTTACGCCTTGGCCTACACTCCCATTTATAAATAGGCGTAAACAAACAAAAAGGCTTTGGAATTGGAATTGACCAAATTTGGTAGTTCGATTCCAAACAGGTAGATCTATAAAGTTGAAACATCAGAAGATATACTTAACTCTATTTTCGGAGTTAAGTTTGGCTGCAAAGGTGCACTTTGAGGTAAACGACGGACTAGATCAACGTGAACAATGGTAGTGCACATGTGCCTCACGTGCCAGGACGTTAATGTTAAATCGAGGGAGCCTTTCTTCTGTAGGTATACAAGACGATAAATTCACTTTGAAACGTTTGACTCGAAGACACGATTGTAGACCAGCGTCAGCTGTTGTTATGCCCTATGCCGTCGCACGCAGGAGATCCGAGTTTGATTCCTGGACGGGGAGGATTTTTATGGAGTATCATAATCTGTCTGTTGGAATGTGTCCCTCTCTGCTCTGATTAGCTGTGACATGCAGGGGCGAAGCCTGTATTCTAAATGAACTGATTTTTGCTGGTGGGGGCTTAAAACTTATACATCAAAAGACAAACACACACACACACACACACACACACACACACACACACATAC